GTTGCTTGATATTGATATGCTGTTCATCCATACACATCCACGTCTTCTCTCCTCTCCCAACTGCCATGCTCCTCGCTATCTGCCCCTCCTCTCTACAGTATTTATGTTACTAGATTGTAAGCTCGAAAGAGCAGGGCCCTTGACCCCCTCGTGTATTGTATTGTTACTGTATTGTCTCATGTACTGTCCCCCACTATAATGTACAGTGCTGAGAAAACCTTTTAGCGCTATATAAATACTGTATAATAATAATAATAGTAAGGGTGTACATTTTAGAACAAATTTTAACATAGAACGTTTGCTCAAGTGTGTGATTATTTTAATGCATGTTATCAGACTTTAATAGGCACTGTAGTATATGGTGCAACAACACACTGTAATGGCTTTGTTATTTTGTCGCATGGGAAATGTATTGATATTTATACTAAAAAATTATGTATTTCCCATCTTAGTATGCCTACATTTAGGCTTTTTTTGTGAATAGAATGTGAAAAAAAAAAAACATGGTGGTAAGTGAAAAAGGCAAATATAAAATAGCAAAAATAAGAATATATATATATAAATATATATTTTAAAAAAAAAGTTAAACAAAAATACAAATATAAATAATGATACAAATATAAAAGTGCAATTATAATTATAGAAAAATAAGCAACTTGGCCTATAATCTTCCAAATGAAAACATTTATTATTCATAAATATATTAAAATGTTCTGCCATAAAATGAAAAATCACTGCACTGTATAGCCTCAGTTTCTCAGCTCCCTGAGTAATGGCTGTACTCACCGCTGCCCAAGTTGGGGACAGGAAGATAATCCAAAGAGTGATAGACCTCATCACGATCCAGCCAGTCTCCTCAATAGCAAGCACAACTGTATGGGTACTTAACTGCACACTTTCACCATGTCCTCACAAAGTATTCAGAGTGTCAGTGTGCTGGACCCTCCCTGTATGCAGGAGGAAAACTCCCATTAATCTTCAGCCACATGCGATGCTCTAGTTGTTTGCGAAGTGAAAAAAACACTTCATGGTCACATTACATCTAAGTGAGAGGAGTCGCAGCACTTTCATATATTGATCTCTAAATAATAGAATAATTTGGAGGCCATCTACCTAAAGTTCAGGTAAGTTCTCATATTACATTGTCTTGGTAAATGTAAGTTGATTGTACAGAGATTGTATGGTTAGCCTGTAAAGTGTATGGTGACAAAAAAATCTAAATGGTGTAAAAATCTAAATTTTATCACAAAATACTTTTTCAGTATTAAAGTTTACATGAAAAACTTGAAATGATTTTCATTGTGAACTGTGCCACATTTTTGTTCAGTAGCTAGAAGTGCTGGCCTTCTTTCCTGAAAGACTGTTGCAAGAAAATCAATTTCTGCACAAGCCAGCCAAAAAAAGTATATGAAAACCTGATAACTAAAATCTCCAATAAATTTTACCATGTTTAAAAAGTAACTTTCAAGACTTTTAAATGTACAGTTTTCAGTATAATAATGTCTAGTACACGATAAGAAAATTGGATGAAAAATACAGTTTTCAGAGAGATAATCTGATTGTTAGTCCTCAGTTGTCGAGAACCAAACATGACAGTTCTTGGTGGCTGCCTTCAGGCTTTAAGCTGGGCTTGCTCCTTCCCTGTTACACAGGCTGTCCTCCCTGGTAGATGTCGAGGCAGTGCAGATCCTCTTTTCTAGTGACCTACCTGTAGGTTGGCTCCCCTCCCTGGGGTCCCCTCCCAGGGTCCAAACTTCAGCCTTCCTCAATCCATCTTCCACTCAACACTGCACCTGCTCTCCAGGCTCTGCCACATTTGAAGGTTTGCCCTGGTTACCATGCCCAACCTCCTTCCAGGGAATTGGCCAAAGTTCCTCAAACATGCAGAACTGGGCCTCCTCTCTGTAACGATTGTGCACAATAGAGACATGGAAGCTGTACGCGACAGCCATCTTGTTAAGGTCTCAGCAATGTTGTTGCAAGAACAATCAGCTCTCTCCCTCCTCTTGGAATTGAATTTGTTTCTGTAAGTTGTAACAACTTCAAAAGAGCCTGTTATCTTAAATAAAAACACAAATGGAGGCCAGATCCAAGAGCTGTAAACCGCTAATTAGGCTTGGCAGGATTTCTACATGGCACATACACTTTCCTCTGCCCTATCGTAAAACAATAAGTCAGTCAGCTGTCACACACATGACCTGTTCGGCATTAGGACTCTAGGAATGCAGAACATGCCATAAAATGTCCATTCCACATGTAACCATTTCACATATAGTTCATAAAAATCAACAGGAACTGGGCATATTAATATTAGGTATATATTTGGATAGATAATTTTGTGTCAAGTCAAACGAGGTCATACATGACTATATTAGCACATAGAAGAGAGGAGAAAGCAGTCTCTTCCCTCCTGGTTGACAAGGGTACGCTGTGTTTGGTATCCCTGGGTTTGAAAGATAATTCTGAACATTAATCTGCCAGTTGCCACCTGCACATATTGGAGGTTATTAATATTAGTATGAAATGGTAAGGCGACTTAGTCAAAAACTTGGTGACCTCCTAGAACCCATCCCCAAACTGGATGATCGGTCATTTGTTTTCAGGCGACACCCCTTTAATATCATAGAAAAGGGCTGACTGACTGACTGAAAGGAGCTCTTGTTTAACACCAAGCAAGAAACATCTCACAGACTCGAGAGCCAAGGCAACCTTTTTGCTCAGACAACTGGATTCTGCTAAAATCAGGACTTCGCAAGTATCCTGCCTTCTTAACTCCTTTCTTATATCTCTCTGTTGCTTTATTGTTCTCTTTATGTCTTTGTAACATCTTTTTCTGTGAATATTTTAATTGCACCATTTAGACCTTTTTAGTAATAAACCTTATTTTGAAAAGTGTTCAAACTGTCTCTAAAGCTTTTAATGCAAACTAAAGAATACCTGTCTCTTGAAGATTGCTACTGTATGTGACAATCCTCTGAACATACTTGTCTGTGGTGACAGTGTGTGTTGCAGACGCTTATGGTAATATCATTGTGTTATTGCTAGGATTTGTGAGTTTCCTCCGTCTCTGCAAAAAGGTGGTGGTGGTGGCAATGTGAAGGGTTAATTGCGCAATTAACCTGACCCAGTAACAATTGCTCTCAGGCTGCTGGCACATAGATTGTGGTCCTGCGAGCTGGAAAATCATTGTGCAGGGCACAGCTGAGAGTGGCATTGTTACGCAAGTGACAGCGCGGTGCGAGATAGCCTAGTCCTTTGGTCACGAGTTGGTGAGAAGGGCAAAGGTCGGGCTCTGCGTTCTGTCACACTTCCCTCCTCCAGAAAGCTCTCAGGTTTCTGGAGAGGTGGGAGGGCTCCAGAAGCCCTGAACTAATAGAGCCTCCTAGCCTGTCCTGAGGTGAACTACTGTCTCACTCATAGGCTGGACTCCTCCCAGGCTGCTACTCAGCCTCTGCCTAAAAAAAGAAAAAAACAAACAGCCTATCCAACTAACCTGTAGGGTGTTACACAATACACTATATTACATCATCGTGGGATGTTGTATTGTTTTACAGGAATTGATGTAACTTTAGTAACCTATTCCTTTTTGATATGAGACTAGCATGCACAAAAAATGGTTGATCATTTGTCTTACATTCTCATTGTGTCTACGAGGCTTAACGCCTGTTACATGATGATCTTGCCATGAAGTTTCTTTATCAGGTGCTTTTTGTTATAGGGCGACAACATTTTTCCCTGTCTCCCAGTTGTGCTCCTGTATTGTCACTCTGTCACACAGGCTTCCAAAGGAGACTACAACTGGTTGTTTCAAGATGCAATACACGTGTATGGTCCACCGTTGTCACCATCAACCCTCCCTGAGAAATGACATGAAACCGCACTTGGAAAAAGTGTATGTGTAAAACAGCTAGAGGAAATCAGCAACAATGAGGTTCAAAAAAGAAAGAAAAAATGTGAAAACAAATATTTTATTATAAAACAAAAAACAAAATGGCAATTCATTCTGATACACAGTAAAAACGAAGGTGTTGATTTAAGGTAAATAGGCTGTTCACTTTGCAAGGGACAGTGCACTTTTCACAGGAATTCTCACAAGAGCTTAATGAATGTGGTGAAATTTCACTTTGCAAAGATTACCCAATCACATGGCTGGATATTGGAACTCAGCAGAGCTTCACCACCTTCATTAAATTCTGGGGAAAATCCCCTTGCAAAAGTTCACCTACCCCTGCAAAGTGAACAAAAAAATCTACTTCACTTGAGTAAATCAACCCCCAAATGTTATTCAGGTAAGCCAGAAATTCAGAGGTGTTTAGCCACATTGCAAATCCCAGCAGCAGGAATCTACTGATTCTTGCTACTACATATGATAGCTGTGGGTAGATAGTTGCAGCTGCCGATATCATACACTGCAATGAAAGGCTGTCAGCAGCCACATCTTTTTGTGCCTGTCTGGAAAACCAGCAATTACCTGCGGTGATCACAGCTGGATGCAGCAGCTGGAATCTGCAGCCTTCAAACCCATCAGCACGAATCAGTAGACTCCTGCCTGTGGGATTCACACTGTGCTAAATGCCTATGTGAATGTGAATTACATCTTATTCAACTGTTTTCAAAGGAAGTCAATTTACTGGCTAAAAGATAGAAATCTAAAAGTTTCCTTCATCCATACTAACAGTACGGATGAACAAATCCCTCTTGTTGGGTTATTGTATTCTGGCTGCCAGCACCGCCAGCTAATGCCACTGTTTGGCCAACAAGTTTCTTTCAGACTCCTTCAAAAAATGTTGATTGAACATCATCTTTTGTCGAATGGAGCAATACCAGCAAGGCTATAAACTGTTCAGATTTTGACTGAGCCAAGAGGAATCGGCCAAAATTCAGGCACTGCATGGCATCATTCAATGAACTCTTAAAGCAAAGCAATAGTAAGGGGCATGGCCGATGCCTAAAATGTTTTCTTCCATACTTTTTTCCCAGAATATTAAAGTATTACTATACCCAGGACCCTGCATTCACTATATCTGGTCTCCCACAGTACACAAACTATGGAAATGCAAATATTTTAGTAAATATAAACTGCTAAAATATCTTTTCTCATCAGCAGTCACAGCAGTCTTCTGACTTTTATCAGTGTCCAGCAGAGCACTGGTTACAGCTTGTAGCAGGAGTTTTCATTCTCCCCTGATGAGGCTACATAACCCCTGATCCTCTGTCTGAACAGCGCTAATTGGCCCTGTGCCTACATGCAATCTCCCAAGAAAAAAAAAAACAATCACAACTCCCTGATGAAGCCGAGTGACCGGTGGCGTAACGCATAGGGGAGGGGCTACAACGTCACTGGCCATTCGAGGACGACAGGTTCACATCAGGCATGTGGTGTTTGGCATGCTGAGGATGTAGCACTGTAAATACAAAAGCGGTTTTTACTTTTTTTATTTGTGAGTGCAATTGGGTACCTTATTAAAGCTTTTTTAAAAGGATAAAGCACTATCTCTGGTATTTTCTCTTTTCACTGAGGGCATATGCAGAGGAGAGGAAAGCAGGGGAGAAGCAGCAAAAGAGTAAGATCCCAGCAGGGACTGAGAGGGATCCACCATTCCTCATATAGTGCAACACAAAACAGTTCCATATAGTGAACAAAAGCGTTATTAGCCTAGTATAGGCTATTTTGGAGGTGAGCGCACATCTGAATCTCACTAAGGAAGTCACCTGGAATTATTTATTGAATTATATCACTGGGAATTGTCACCACTTATTCACAGAGACTTATTATTATTTGCAAATGATAAGCACGGGATGTCACATCTTACTTTGTTGATCACATGTTCTTTCTAAATTGATATATTTTGGTTTATGATATGGCTTCTTTGGAAATATTAATTGATTTTTAGTAGTTTGTTATTTTTCACTTAGAGGAGGAGCGCGGCATAATTCATATCGGTTTTGGAATTATCTACACATATAAGGAGGATGTGTTTTATGTTAGCGCACCTTTATAATTAATAGTAGGTGGCTCGCAAGTTATACTCTTGTTTTTATATACAATGTTTTCTTCCATACATTTTTTCCCAGCATATTAAAGTGTTACTAAATCCAGGACCCTGCATTCACTATATCTGGTCTCTCACAGTAAAATAATTGCATTTACATGTTTTATATACTAAGTATAAACTACCAAAATACCTTTTCTCATCAGCAGTTAGAGCAGTCTTGTGACTTCTATCAGTGTCCAGCAGAGCACTGAATAAAGCTTCTAGGAGGAGTTTTCATTTTCCCCCGATGCAGCTGCATAACCCCTGATCCTCTGCCTGGACAGCGCTAATTGGCCCTCTACCTACATGCACTCTAACAAGAAAAAAAACAACTCTCTGACATATCACTACACCGGCCCGTTGCCAGTATAATGTGACTGCTGTGACCAATCACAGCAGATCACATGTCAATTGTATACAATGGATGACTTCCTGTCATGCCATTCATTGTATACAATTATGTTGTTAGCTGTGACTGGTCAAGGCAGTCACATAATACAGACAGAGCCAATCACAGCGCATCTGTATCATGTGATCAGCTTTGCCCAATCACAGCTAATCACAACAGTTTCATTCAGTAACAATGATTGCAAATATCAATGAAATACATTGGTATTAGCAATCATAATGTGTTAAAAAAAATCCTGATCACTTGCCCAGAGTAGTTCAGTGTTACTGTGGTAACATTGTATTGCTTTGGTCACAGTGTGCTGAAAACAATAGTAAAAAAAAAAAGTAATACAAAATAAAAAAAAATACAAACATTTGAAAAAAAAAAAATTCAATTATTATTATTAAATCAAAAAAATGCAGTGCAGTACTATAAACTCAAATATGGTGCTAAATAAATCCAATGTGCATATGTACTATATATGTGCATAATACTGAAACATACAATTGTGCTTTGTGACAATAATATGTGCTACATCAAAATAAATATCAACACATATATGTAAATAAACTGCATATACCAGTGCTAAATAAATAGTATATGCAAATACCAAATGAATCATATAAATGGTGACCTGTCCCTTTAATACTCCAAAATCTTCACATGTGCTTATGCGATATGTCTCCTGTGCATCATGTAGGGCAGCACAGTGGTTAGCACTTCCGCCTGGCAGCACTAGGGTCATTGGTTCGAATCCCAGCCATGGCACCTCCTGCCTGGCGTTTGCATGTTCTCCCTGTGCCTGCGTGGGTTTCCTCCAGGTGCTCTGGTTTCCTCCCACACTCCAAAGACATGCTGCTAGGTTAATTGGCTCCTGTCTATATTGTCCCTAGTATGTGTATGTATGAATGTGAGTTTGGGACCTTAGATTGTACACCCCTGAGGGTTAGGGACTGCTGTGAATGTACAATATATATGTAAAGCGCTGCATAAATTGACGGTACTATACAAGTACCTGAAGGAAAGAAATAATACCAAATACCATCAACAAGTGTCCGAATGTTATGGTATCAAAATGCTGGTGAACTGTCCCTTTAAGACCACTGTGCTCCAAGTGAATTTGTGTAATCACTCTACTGCATATACATATACGGTGCTCCTGTGTCACCCCTTAGTGCTTATCCACCTCTAACACACTATTGTGCTCACCTTCAGGATTGACCTGAATACTCACCCTGGAGGTACATGGAATTCATAGAGTTGAACAAGCGGCCTGCATGCCCTTGCATGGAACACCTATGTTTTCTGGGCAGCTAATGATGGCCCTTCACACAGGCGTATGGATCAGTATGCCCTTGTGAATGTGGCCTTATACTCTCTTACTCCTATAGTTCTCTTGCTGGAATAAATGTCCAGAAATGGCTAAACAAAATTAATTGTAATGTTGAATCTTTGTTCCCTTTCCCTGATACCTGGCTGTACTAGGTAATGGCCCTGAATACCATTATGACTAATACGGCCCTGAGATTAGTATGTGGTTTTGCCTTGTTTCAGTGCTTTGTTTTACAGGATGCTCTAGACATGCTGTTGAAGTTTGTTTGTTTTATAGATTTAGAGGAAACTTCTATTACTTTTCTGTTCTTTCAGGCAGTCTGCCTAACAAAAGGACAGCTCTCCTATACCCCTGTGAAGAAGGAGGACAGTTCCCCATTCCTCTCTATCGCACCCCCCTGAGAAGGACAGCTACCCCATACCCCTCCATTGCAACCTCCTGTGAAAGAGGAGGACAGATCCCCTATACCAGGCATGTCCAAAGTCCGGCCTGGGGGTCGGTTTAATACGGCCCTCCAACAGCCCTTCCTGCTCTGTGTAATGTGGCCCTTCCTTCCATGGCAGACAGTCTTCTGCTTGAGAGCAGAGGGCAGTGCGCATGCCTGACTGCGGCGCGTTCTCCCTGGTCTGTGTAAATGCGGCTGTCGCACGGCCCTCCCTTCTGTGGCAGACAGTCTTCTGCTTGAGCAGTGCGCATGCGTGACTGCGCCGCGCTGGGAGCGACAGAGGGCGGTGACGTCAGGGCCGGGCTTCCAGCGTGAAGTGTGTTTCTCTTCCCCTCCCGGCTGCCGAGCAGAGACTTCAGCTCCAGCTACCTTTTTCACCTTTCACATTAGTGCAGGTAAGTTTTTTTTTTAATTTATTTTCAATACATTGTGAAAACTCAGCTGTCGGTTGATCTTAATGTTATGAAATGAAAAGTATGTCGTTTGCAATTAACTTGGCATAAAATAATTTATTTGCATTTAATTGTAATGGTTCAAAGAATGTTCGGAAAAATGTTCGGCCCTCCACCATGTTCACTTCATCCAATCTGGCCCTCTTTGAAAAATGTTTGGACACCCCTGCCCTATACCCCTCCATTGTATCCCCCACCCTTGAAGGAAAAGGACAGCTACCCCATACCCCTCTACTGCACCCCCCTGTGAAGGAGAACAGCTCCCCCATATCCCTCCATTGCACACCATATAAAGAAAGAGGACAGATACCCCAAACCCCTCAATTACACCTCCCTGTGAAGAAGAAGGACAGCTCCCCTATACCCATCCATTGCACACCCAAAAAGTAGGAGGACAGTTACCCCATACCCCTCCATTGCACCACCTAATGAAGGACAGTTACCCTATACCCCTTCATTGCACCGCCTAGTGAAGAAGGACAGTTACCCCATACCCCTTCATTGCACCCCCCCTGTGAAGAAGGACAGCTCCCCTATACCCCTCCATTGCAGCACCCTGTGAAGAAGGACAATTACCCCATACCCCTCCATTGCACCGCCCTGTGAATGACAGTTACTCCATACCCCTTCATTGCACCCTCTGTGGAGGACAGTTACCCATATCCCTCCATTGCACCCTCCTATGAAGGAGGAGGACGGATCCCCATACCCTTCCATTGCAACCCCCCTTTGAAGATAAAAGGACAGCTACCCCATACCCCTCTACTGCTCCCTCCTGTGAAGGAGGACAGCTCCTCCATATCTCTCCATTGCACACCCTATAAAGAAAGAGGACAGCTACCCCATACCCCTTCATTGCACCCCCCCGTGTGAAGAAGGACAGCTCCCCCATACCCCTCCATTGCACCGCCCTATGAAGAAGAACAACAGTTACCCCATACACCTTCATTGCACCTCCCCGTGAAGGACAGTTACCCCATACCCCTGTGAAGAAGGAGGATAGCTCCCCATAGCCATCCTTTGCACACCCTATAAAGTAGAAGGACAGCTCCCCCAATTTTTCTTTATGAAAAGTCTTGCAATCATTTAACATAAAATATACAGAATATAAAAAAAAATAATAATTATATATATATATATATTTACACCAAAACAGCTCCCCCATACATCAGGACAGCTCCCCCATACCCCTCCATTGCACCGCCCTGTGAAGAAGGACAGTTACCCCATACCCTCCATTGCACCGCCCTGTAAAGGACCCCAGGTACAGGTACCCCCCTCCATTGCATACCCCCCCATTGCACCCCCCTGTGAATAAGGACAGCTCTCCTATACCCCTTCATTGCACCCCCCGTGTGAAGGACAGCTCCCCCATACCCCTCCATTGCACCCCCTTGTGAAGAAGGAGGCCAGCTCCCCCATACCCCTTCATTGCACCCTCTGTAAAAGGGACAGTTCCCCCACACCCCTCCATTGCACCACCCTGTGAAGGACAGCTCCCCCATGCCCTTCATTGCACCCCCCTGTGAATAAGGAGGACAGCTCTCCTATACCCCTCCATTGCACCCCCCCCCCCCCCCCCCCACCACACCGTGAAGAAGGAAGACAGCTCCCCATACCTCTCTATCACACACCCCTGTGAAGAAGGACAGCTACCCCATAACCCTCCATTGCACCCTTCTGTGTAAGAGAAGGACAGATTGCCATACCCCTCCATTGCACCCACCCCTTTGAAGGAAAAGGACAGCTACCCCATTCCCCTCTACCCTGCACACTCCCTACCCCATTCCCCTCTACTGCAGTGAAGGACGGCTACCCCATATCCCTCCATTGCACACCCTATAACGAAAGAAGACAGCTAACCCATACCCCTCTATTGCACCTCCCAGTGAAGAAGGAGGTCAGCTCCCCTATACCTATCAATTGCACGCCCTATAAAGTTAGAGGACGGCTCCCCCATACCCCTTCATTGCACCCCCCTGTGAATAAGGAGGACAGCTCTCCTATACCCCTCCACTGCACCCCCCCTGTGAAGGAGGAAGACAGCTCCCCATATCTCTTTATCGCACCCCCCTGTGAAGGACAGCTACCCCATACCCCTCCATTGCACCCTCCTGTGAAAGAGAAGAACAGATTCCCATACCCCTCCATAGCACCCGCCCCCTTTGAAGGAAAAGGACAGCTACCCCATACCCCTCTACTGCTCCCCACTGTGAAGGAGGACAGCTCCCCTATACTCATCCATTGCACGCCCTATAAAGTAGGACAGCTCCCCTATACCCCTTCACTGCACCCCCCGTGTGAAGAAGGACAGCTCCCCCATACCCGTCCATTGCACCACCCTTTGAAGAAGGACAGTTACCCCATACCCCTTCATTGCACCACCTTGTGAAGGACAGTTACCCCATACCACTTCATTGCACCCCCCTGTGAATAAGGAGGACAGCTCTCATATGCCCCTCCATTGCACCCCCCCTGTGAAGGAAGAAGACAGCTCCCCATACCTCTCTATCACACCCCCGTGTGAAGGACAGCTTCCCCATACCCCTCCATTGCACCACCCTTTCAAGAAGGACAGTTACCCCATACCCCTCCATTCCACCACCCTGTGAAGAAGGACAGTTACCCCATACCACTTCAGTGCACTCCCCTGTGAATAAGGAGGACAGCTCTCGTATGCCCCTCCATTGCACCCCCCCTGTGAAGGAGGAAGACAGCTCCCCATACCTCTCTATCACACCCCATGTGAAGGACAGCTACCCCATACCCCTCCATTGCACCCTCCTGTTAAAGAGGACAGCTTCCAATACCCCTCCATTGTACCCCCCCATTGAATAAACAGGGCAGCTACCCCCATACCCCTCTACTGCTCCCCCCTGTGAAGGAGGACAGCTCCCCCATATCCCTCTATTGCACACCCTATAAAGAAAGAGGACAGCTACCCCATACCCCTCCATTGCACCGCCCTGTGAAGGACAGTTACCCCATATCCCTCCATTGCACCGCCCCGTGAAGGACAGTTACCCCATACCCCTCCATTGCACCGCCCTGTGAAGAAGGACAGCTACCCCATACCCCTCTACTGCACCCCCCTGTAAAGGAGGACGGATCCCCCATATCCCTCCATTTCACACCCTATAAAGAAAGATGACAGATACCCCATATCCCTCTATTGCACCTTCCTGTGAAGAAAGAGGACAGCTCCCCTATACTTATCCATTGCATGCCCTATAAAGCAGGAGGACAGCTCCCCCATACCCCTTCATTGCACCCCCCTGTGAAGGACAGAAACCCCATACCCCTCCATTGCACCCTCCTCTGAAAGAGGAGGACAGATTTCCATACCCCTCCATTGCACCGCCCCCCCCCTTTGAAGGAAAAGGACAGATACCCCAAACCCCTCTACTGCTCCCCCCTGTGAAGGAGGAAAGCTCCCCCATATCCCTCTATTGCACACCCTATAAAGAAAGAGGACAGATACCCCATACCCCTCTATTGCACCTCCCTGTGAAAAAGGAGGACAGCTCCCCTATACCCATCCATTGCACGCCCTATAAAGTAGGAGGACAGTTACCCCATACCTCTCCATTGCACTGCCTAGTGAAGAAGGATAGTTACCTCATACCTCTCCATTGCACCGCCCTGTGAAGAAGGACAGTTACTCCATACCCCTCCATTGCACCGCCCTGTGCAGCAAGACAGCTTCCCTATACCCCTCCACTGCACCGCCCTGTGAAGGACAGTTACCCTATACTCCTCCATTGCACCTCCTGTGGACAGCTCCCCCATACCACTTCGTTGCACCACCCTGTGAGAAAAGTTACCCCATACTCCTCCATTGCACCTCCTGTGAAGGACAGCTCCCCCATACCACTTCATTGCACCCCCCTGTGAATAAGGACAGCTCTCCTATGCCCCTCCATTGCACCCCCCTGTGAAGGAGGAGGACAGCTGCCCATACCTCTCTATCGCACCCCCCTGTGAAGGACAGCTACCCATACCCCTCCATTGCACCCTCCTGTGAAGAACAGCTTCCCCATACCCCTCCATTGCACCCCCCCGGGTAAGAAGAAAACAGCTCCCCCATGCCTCTTTATTCTATCCCCCTGTAAAGGAAGAGAACAGTTACACATGCCTTTGCTCCATCTGAAGCCTACTCACTTCTGGCCCAAAAACAAACATGACAAAAAAAAAACTGCAACACGGCTTGTCACTCCTCTGTATGTCCAGCAGGGGGCTCTGGAGATCAGTACGGCCTCTGAGGCCTGGGCTTCGGACCTCATAGGGAGTGAGGGGCGGAGGAGGCCAGTGTACAGCTCAGATCCCTGGCTCACCGACACTGGTCTCACCGGACACCGAGGAGGACAGGAACCGGGCCGCTACTCCTTCCTCTCCGGGCCTCGGCTGTTCAGGATGTGGCTGAACCCGGAGGAGGTGCTGCTGGCCAATGCACTATGGGTGACCGAGAGAGCGAACCCGTTCTTCATCCTGCAGAGGCGACGGGGACACGGCAAAGGCGGAGGGCTGACAGGTGAGGGGGAGCAGGGGGTTGGGGGAGGCCGATGATGGGCCCGGGGTTCTTCCAGCTCATCTAGTCTGCCTAGAAACTTCTCTCCAGAGTGAGTCCAATGTAAACATTGCAGGAGCCCGCCTCACCCCCTTTGGGGTCATCCCTGTACATAGATCTGCCTGGACACCATACACCTTAATACACTCTGACATCAGGACTCTTCCCTGTCACAGCAAATGTCTGGATTGCTGGATATGCTGCAGTCACCATCTGGATCGGGACACGGCGCCATGGATCGTGTCTGGTAGGCAGGGGGTCTTGTCCGGTAGGCAGGGGGTCGAGTCCGGAAGGCAGGGGGTCGTGTCCGCTAGGCAGGGGGTCGTGTCCGCTAGGCAGGGGGTCGTGTCCGGTAGGCAGGGGGTCATGGGTAGTGTCGTGTCGCTAGGCAGGGGGTCGTGTCCGCTAGGCAGGGGGTCGGCAGGGGGTCGGCAGGGGGTCGTGTCGTGACCGGTTGGCAGGGGTCGTGTCGTGACCGGTAGGCAGGGGGTCGTGTCCGGTAGGCAGGGGGTCGGCAGGGGGTCGTGTCCGGTAGGCAGGGGGTCGGCAGAGGGTCGTGTGTCCGGTAGGCAGTAGGTCGTGTCCGGTAGGCAGGGGGTCGGCAGGGGGTCATGTCCGGTAGGCAGAGGGTCGGCAGGGGGTCGTGTCCGGTAGGCAGGGGGTCGTGTCCGGTAGGCAGCGGGTTGTTACCGTTGCTCGTGCCCCATGGGTCGGGCCCGTCGCTCGGGCCCCCGGACCTTGATTGTACAAAGCACCACAGATTGAGAGCGTTACGCAGCACCACGGAATCAGGATCAGCACTCGAGATCGGCACGTGGCACCACGGATCAGGATACACCTCAGTTCTATGTATACATTGAGCTCCACATTGACACTTTAAATTCCCCAGGTTATGTAGAGTGGCTAAATCTTTTTGTATATTGAACTGTTTGGCTACCAATGAATCCTACATATTAGAATTATGAGAGCTGGCTTTGCTGACTAATTTGTATGGTCACAAGCATTGGTGTTGTCATCTCTAGGTCTTAGGCTGGCCATAGACGGGACGTTTATCGGGCGAATTAACGAAAAATCGGTCGGTGCCGATGCTGCCACCAATGTCCATGAAAAACGTCCATTTTTCGTGGATTTTCCAGCATAACTGATAAAAATAAACGAGAGGATCCGCGATAAACGGCCGATGGGCTGGCCCCACTAACAATGTGTTAATATCGGCCGATTTTTCATGCGGACGAAAATTCGGCCAATACCGACCCATCTATGGCCTGCATTATACATATGGGTGTACAATACACTGCGCTTAGATCCATAATGTATACGGATCTGAACAGTGTAGAATTGTATGCTATCAGCCTATGCACCTCGCTCTGTTTGATTTGAATGTTGCAGTGTTGTATGCTGTGTGCCCATGTAAACTGCCTCATTTTAGTCCATAGCATTTAGCCAAAACAAAAAACATTGTCCACGGTCTGATTTTGACTGTATTGCTCACGATACACATGTAAAGGTTTGTGTGAAAACTTACATGAGTAGATGCACATGGCTGTATGCCTTGCTGCCTGTGTAAACATACACAATATGCAGATAATTACCTCTGCCTTTAGGGCCAGTTCACACTACGTGCATTTCAGTTGCTTTTTTCTGCATCCAAAATGCTCAGAAAGTAGGTTATATGGTTGTCAATGGTATAGTTCAAATCAGTGCTTGCAGTTCCAGTGCATTCCAGTTGCAGAAAAAAAAGTAGAACATGCTGCATTTTTTCCTGCACAGAACTGTACAGGAACACGGTTAAATGCATCAAAAATTTGCTGGAATGCACATGCCCCTATTTAAATTGAAGATAAAGGGGAAAAATGAACAGAAATGCATCAAACGCACTGGATCGCATCAAAAACGCACATGTAGAAACGCATCTGGAACACATCTGGACTGCATTTCTACGGTGTGAATCGGCCCTAAGTCATTTTGCACTGCCTAGCCATTGAATCATTCAGAGCCATTTGACACTACATGTTTTTCAGTTGCTTTTTTCTGCATCCCAAATGCACAGAAAGTAGGTTATAAGGTTGTCAATGTCATAGTTCACATCTGTGCTTGCAGTTCCAGTGCATTCCAGTTGCAGAAAAAATAGAACAGGCTGCATTTTTCCTGCACAGAACTGTACTGGAATGTGGCAATACGCATCAAAAATGAACTGGAACTCACATGTCCCTATTTAAATTGAAAAAAAAGAGGAAAAATGAACCGGAAAGTGTCAAAACGTGCATCCGAAAACTCATCTGGACAGCGTTTCTATGTGTGAACCGGCCCTCAGGTGTACACCTGTGCAAGGGCCCCATGTTTGCCCTCATGGGGAAGCACAGGGTTGGTGCATGGCTGTCAGATTGGAAGCAGTGACTTGATCCATACAGCTGCTGCTTCCCAGTTAACATGAATGAGATTGCCTGCATAAGGACACATGGAACAGCTGTGCATTGCCATGTGAGCAAACACGGCCCTCACACAGCTGTACACCTGAGCAAACCCCCTCCCTGAGGGCTGGTTCACACCATAAAAACGCTGTCCAGATGAGTTTCCGCATGCACATTTTTTATGCATTTGTGCGTTTTTAACACATTCCGGTTAATTTTTTTGTCAGAATGACTGTAAAAATTACTAGTGGTATATCAAAATGAAACAGAAAATTCAGGATACACTTGGCCAAAAACCAAAGCCGAAATGGGACAGTTTTTAAAAATTAATATATTTTTCAAACACAATTTTTTTGGAAAAAAATACACTGATTAAAGAAATAAAATAAAACGCAATATATACCCCAATTTTTTTGTAAAATATGAAAGAGAATGTTACGTCGAGTAAGTAGATACCCAACAAGTCATGCTTTAAAATTACATACGGTCATGGAATGGCGTCAAACTACAGTACTTAAAAGTATCCATGCGTGATACTTTAAAAATTTTTACAGGTTACCAGTGTAAAGTTGCAGAGTAGGTCTAGTGTGAGAATTATTGCTTTTGCTCTGATGCGCATGGCAATACCTCACGTGCGGTTTAAACACTGTTTACATATGTGGGCGTGGCCTACGTGTGTGTTCATCACTAAACGGGCACGGGGGGATGAGGGCACTTTAAACTTTTGTGTTGTAATTTTATTTTATTTTTTTACACTGTCCCTTTAAAAAATTTTTTTATCACTTTTATTCCTATCTCAAGGAATGCATGCATCCCTTGTGATAGAAATAATTAGTGACAGGTTCTCTTTATGGAGAGATCTGGGGTCAATAAGATCCCACATCTCCTCTACAATGTAAAGCATTAGATCAAAAAAAGCATTGATCTAGTGCTTTAAAAAAAATGGCCTTCAGGAGTGTGGAAATTTTTGAAAAAACTACTTGTCCAGGGATTAAATCGGTTTCCCAATCTACTTGTCCTGATGAAAAAACATACATTTTAGCCAAAACCGTATTTAAATCTGCTTTAATAATGTCTGGGGCTTTTAAAAACGGGGCTTTATGGCGACTTAAATGATTAATATTTTTAACATTTAACATTGCGCTGTTTATCTCCTCTTCCTCTCCCTGCCTCTCTCCATCACCGCACTGGGGACTAGCAGGGAGGAGAGAGACTTTGCAGTCTAATGAGCACCTATTGGCTGCTCGTCAGGAAAGTGGAGTTTCGGGTTTATCCTTTTCGCTGCTAGAGCTGTTTTTGTGCTTTTTGCACATGTTTAAAAAATCATTTAAGGCCTGAAGATTACATAAAACCCCCAAACGTTATATATTTTCTGAAATCGGAGATCCTGGAGAATGAAATAGCGGTAGTTTCAATTTTTTATGTCACACACAGGTCTAGGAAACGCAAAATTTCAGTAGAAAATACACTTAAGTTAATTTTTGGGCACAAAAAGCAATAACTTAACAATTTTTTTAAAATATGAAAGACGAAGTTGCGCTGAGTAAATAGATATCTAACATGTCAAACCTTAAATTTGCGTGCACTTGTGAAACGGCAACATACTTTAATACCCCATATTTTATATAGGTGGAGCTTTTAAAGCCCTTTATAAGTCTTCAGTTTAGCGTTACGGAGGAGGTCTGGTGCTAGAATTATTGCTCTCATTCTGGCGTGTGCGGCGATATGTAACGTGTATCGCAATTGACGTTTTCATCTGTAGGCGTCCCAGTTCGTGCTTTTATGATTGTGCCTGCATACATATGTGGGTGTTAGCCTTGAAAAATTTGGGGGGAGGTTATATGCTTGGGTGTAACTTCCATTTTTTTTGTTTTATCACATAGGGGAGAAAAACTTCCCTTTGTGATGAATTTTTTTGGTGACAGGTTCTCTTTTTTTGAGACATCCAGGGTCTAAAAGACTCTGGATATCTCCCCTGTGCTCCCCTGAATGTAATGCACTCCACATCGCACCGCATTACATTCTTTCCCCGCTTCAATGTCCGGGAATCTATCAAACAGTAACCTGGAAGTGACGTCACATCACCTCCTGGTCAGGACAAGAAGGGGAGGGGAGCGGATGTGTCTGCTCTCCTCCCTCCTCGATACCACATCCCGCCAGCACCCACTGAACCAGTCCTGGACTCGCAGATGGACAAGCGGAGCCCGGGACATATAGCAGGCGGGGGGGGGGGGGGAGGCTGGCACTGTGGGCTGTGTGGAAGCAATTGGGCGGCAGCACTGGCGTTCGAATGCTTCCTCCTGTCAGGTGAGCCCTGCTGGTTGCCCGCAGCAGGGCTAAAGGCAAAAAAAAAACCTACCTGCCCACTACCTGGAACTGCATGTACCGGGCGATTTGAATTGCACATCCTTGGCGCCGGAACCGGAAGTGACATCGCTCCGGTCCTCCCAAGGGCATAGAGATGATTGGAGGCCATCTTTCCTTCACTGATCTCTATTCCCAGCGCCAGGATCGTTGGGTGGTTTCTCAGGTAAGGCTGAGACTTACCAAGCA